AGTTTCGCCAGGTCATCTAAAGCGGACTCTTATCCATCTTTATGACGCGAATAGGCTTGTCACTATCCGCATTGATGATTACATGTGAATTCCAGGATGGTAGCTGCAAAGCTTGCTCCGATTGGGTGTCGCACATGAATTGCTTGCAATGCAAGCAGGAGCAATGATTTTGTGCACCACAGACAATGCAAGAGCCTCGCCTCCCTTTTCCATTAAGGTCTCCATTAGCAGCCACCAATCCTTTTGACAGGCACTCCAGGATGCCCTTTCGATCGCTCCAACACAAACTGACTTGCTTTATCCAGCTTGCCGCTGACAAGCTTCTCTTCCAAAGAGGAGTATTTGGCAAGCACACCACGCTTCGGCGTTTTGTTTGTCACAATCAGCAAGGCGACATCTGTTCATTCGACGTCTGACTGAGATCGCGTTTCTCTTGCAGCTGCTGCCATTGCCCTTGGTGGTGTTGCAGGAATTGTGGTCTCTTCCGATGGGGCAAAGTGCTTGGTAATGTGATCGATAATCAAGAACTGTGCCTTCTTGAAGGACGCTCTCTCGGTGGCAGAGTCTCGAAAGCACTTGAGGCAAGAGTAGCGGCTTAGATCTGCTCTAGCAGTAGCGATTTGGTACATGCGATGGATATGCACACCGACAAGTGACAGCATTCGAGCTGTGGCAGCACTTGGATTCTCATTGTTCGGCACACTGTACTGGCAATGCCAAATCAAGTTTGTTGTCGCATCTGATCCACCTTTGAGGGTATTCCAATAGGAGGAGTCTTAAGCGTGGGTTGGGAAAGGCCATGTTGTTGTTAATGTCGCGCCACAGGGCTAGCTCCATTCGAAAGCTGTGTATGTCAACCATTGACTTGTTGACTTCGATGTTGTCAAGCACTGCCTGCCAGTGGAGCTCATCATCTGATGGACCTGTTGTCTGGTCGTCATACATCCACCGAAGGTGCTGCTGTAGATATCTTCCAATAAGTTTCCATAGGACACCTGGATAGGTTCAGTGAAGGCACAAACACAAAAAACATCACTCCATACACCACAGCTCCACTATTGTCGCCAACAAGTAAGAGGACGTAGTCAAGATCATAAACAAATGCATGGTGCAAGAGCTGAATAGCTTCATGCATACTGTTCACAATCCTCTTGAACTTGTCTGAGTCGGCTCTAACTGAAAAGTACTTCCGCTGTCGCTGTCGTGGTGTTCTATCTTCGCCAAGTAGCCGACGGATAGCATCACCAGCTTGATGCGTTACTTTCTGATACATCTTCGCCGCAACTCTTGACTTGATTTCAACACCAATGGGAACAACATCGATATCGTCCACAGAAGCCAAAGCGAGGAAATCAATAGATCCCCGAATGTAACATTGATGCTTTCGTTCAACCAGAGGAGCTGTGCACACAGCTACTAGCTTCAACGGACTATCCAATGATGAATCCTCTTCCAGCTCCCGAAGACAAGCGCGCATGATGTGGCATTCAAGTTGATGCCCACGCCTTGAGTGCTTCTTGGCTTCTCCTTCTAATGGATCGAGGTAGCCTGCTTTCACAATCCTTAACAGCAGCTGGTCTTTGGCCGACAGCATCGCAATCTGCTCTTGCTTTTCCTGCTTCTTGCTTAATTTGACCTCGACAATTGCGTCTGGATGCAATCGAAGATGCGTCTCAATTGCCTTTCGGAGCGCCTCTTGATTTGCTCCAGCATCGGTACCAATCTCCAGCTTGGTGGCAATGTCAAGGAGGTGCTTCTTGCTTTTAAAAAGGTGTCGGCGAAGACGTGGCTCGGCATCAAGGAAGATGCTGAAACTCTTCAAGTCATTCTTCTTTTTCTTGGCTTCGTCCTTGGCGGCAGATGGATTTTTGCCCAGCTCCTTTAAGATTGCTCGAACTTGGGCCATGTCAACCTCGTCAAATTGGATCTGATGTTTTGCTGTCTGGATAAGCCCCTCTGAGTCTAACAGGCCACCAAGCGATAGCTTTACGCAGTTGTCTTCCACTGCTTCATCCTCATCGTCTTTGCTGCTGTCGCTGACAAGGCCACTCAAAACAGAAGCATCATCACCATCACCATCATTTGATGCGTCCTTGGCATCTTTACCACTCGGATTGTCGACATCGATAAGTCCTGCAAGCAAATCCTTGATTGTCATCCATGCATTGCTGTGCTCTAACCAATCTTCCTCGCCTGTACAAGCGGCAATCGCTCTGTCTGTGGTTGAAGACGTAAGCAAAAACTTCCGCAGCATAAACCATTCCGGAGAGCCTTGTGTTGTTGTGAAGGCTCGCACTGGCAGATCACGTAGCTCGAAGAAGAAAGTCTTCTGAAAGATCTTCATACAATGTTTTAACTCCGTCGTCAAATGCTGTTCGTAGTTGTAGGAAGCTATATATAAAAAGTACTAGTTTTAGGCAGACTACCTATCTGATCCGGAGGACCTTTGTCAGCGCTGGTACGAATCGAGCCCGAGGGCCCAAGCAACTGAGTCGTTTATGTGGGTGGTCGCACGACACGAGGGGAATAGCATTCAGTTTCATTGAGACAAGAGGATGTACCTCATATAAGCACGATTGTAACTAGCTAACTAGTCTACGCTCGTCTTTCACCTCCATCCCCAACGAGAGGGGACAGGTCCTTGTTTCTCCGCTACCACAGTGAATGCCTCCTCATGGAGTGACCGGGGGTGCAGTGGCCTAATCCGGATTAAGACTAAAATGTGTGATCATCATTTGCTGTTGCCTTTGGAGCTGTCGATTCGCTGGAGCAAGTTGATTCTGGAACTCGGTTCGGGCCAGGGTGGTAGATTCAAGCCATCATTTTGTCTTGTCGATAGTGAATGTAAGGGTGTGGGTTTTGGTGTCCGGGTGGACTCTCCAGTGGTCGACGGGGAGTAGGCCTATGGTGCCTTGGGTGTACTGTTGTTGAACCCGTTCGCGTAGAGTGTCCAGTTGGGATAGTTGGGTGGGAGTTAGGGTAGTGCCATGGACGGATTCATTTCGGTTAGTCCAAAGGCTGAAGTGTAGGCTCCAGGTCTGTTTGATGAAGGCGCTGGTCCAAGCCAGGCCATCTCCATTCTTCTTGAGGTCGTTGCAGGTGGTGTGTTTGGATGTGTTGGAAGGATTGGGAGACCCTGCCAAGTAACAAGTTCCACCAGCCAAGGTTGTTTGGTCGGCGATGGCTTGGCGGATGGAGGTCGGCAATCGGGTGGTGTTGGGGGAGTGGGTGTCTCCTTGGTGCCACGGTTGAGGTGGAGGAGAATCTGTGTTCGGAGTCTGGGGTGGGTGTGCCTTCTTCTTCATCCACTTGTTCAGCTCTGTCATTTGCTTTTCCATTCCGCTGTAGCAGTGGTGGAGTCACAGAGGAGCACATGGAGGAGTGTCTTCATCTTCGAGGCGCATCGCGGACAGTTGCTGTGGTCTTGCCACTTCTTCGAAGTTGCATCCGTCCGACCCCGCAGTGTCCTGGGCGTGTTTGGTTACCCACACGTTGTGTGCCAAGGGGGCTGCTTCTGAATGCCCGCCGTGGGCAGTCCAGTTGTGTGCGTTGCCACTTGTCGTTACATCTTCGGTGGTAGTAGTGCACATCGCGAACCCGTTTTTCACGTTGTTTCCAGTGGCTTTGATGGAAGCTTCTCCAGGAGTGTGTGAACTTCTCTCAGGTGGAATCGCGCGAGTTCGCGCCCTTGAACTTGATTGTCACGCGTTCGTGGGTGAATGGGATGTTGGGGAAAGGGGTGAACTGGTGCAGGTCCCATTGTGCTTTTGCCCTGGTGTCCATCTCTATATTCAGAATAGCCCATCGGTCCAGACAGCCATGGTGGAGGTCGTTTCCGCAGCAGCTCCGGTCGGAGTCGCCGAGTGGGTCTCTTGTCGTCATCCGGTGCCCTTTCACTCCAACGGTACAGAACTTGCACTTTGCGCTTCTGCTAGTTGCTTCAGACTGCTCTGCCTTCCACGCGCAGGTCATAGTCCCTTTTGTTGCTGGTTGGCTCAAAGATGGATTCCAGTGCTTTCAGTGCTGCTTGCCCGTCACAGCCTATGCATCATCTTTCCACTGGAGATGTCAAAGCGATGGACCATGAGTGCGGACCATCAGCATACACGCCACCAGTCCCGCCAGTTCACTTCGAAGGGATGAGTGGTCTTTTGGGGAGCCTGGACACACATTCGCCGTTGATTCTTCCTTCTGCATCGTTGCCTTCTAGCACGAATGCAGCTGTGCCGGAATCGATTCTTGTATGATCCGTCACTTACTGCCACTGCCTTGCCTGTTAAGGATTGCCATTGCCACCTTCATACCGTCGTCCTGTGGGAGGGTGGTGTGCTGGAATGCCTACTTTCCTGCTGGGGATTTGTCAATCACAAGGTGTTGAGAAGAGGGTGGGATTGGGGGGGGACTTCATCGTCATCCTCATCATCAGGGGTGGGGCAGTGTGGGAGGTGATGGGAAAGGACCACTGGAAGGATTACTCCTCTGGGTGGTTGGGGCGGTTTCGGTTGATTCGGCGTTGAACGGAAACATTCTGGTACTCACAGAGTTGTTGGTTTGGTGTGGCCAGTGGGAGTCGGTACAATGGGGTCACCTGTAGGGCAACATCATTCCATCGATCCTCCCAGTTTCTCTCAACGGTCGACCTTCGAGATGCGACAATACCATGGTGCATTGACTAGTCTAAAGATCTAAGAGATGTAAAGTTTGTATTTTCAAATAAGTGAGCAGTTATTGAATATTTTCTAGAATAAGCCTGCTAATTTAAAGCTGTAAAGCTGAATTGTAAGCTGTATCCCGTCGCACTCCTTTACAGCTGAAATGAAGCTGGGCAAGAAACGATAGGAGAGATTCCCCAGCAAAGTGCTGAAGTAAATTACCATCCCATTGAGGAGTTTCCGAATGACAGCAAACTGTGGAGGCGTAAGACCCTTAGTGAAAATATCGGCCAGTTGTTCCAGAGACGGAATATACTTAGACACGATGCCCTTCGACTCCCGATATTGGACCTGAAGAAGTGGTACTTCAATGCCAAATACTGTTTGCGCGCAGACATTTGGGGAACATTCACAAGAGAACCAAGACAACCTTGGTGTCTTCGAACACTGTAGAGCGCATAAGACTGTCAGTAATTACCGGCATATTCAGTTTGCTACCAATTTCTTGAGCAAAGCTCGCAAAGGAAGCAGCTCCCTCATTAACATTCTGAAGGCAACATACTAAGCAGCAGTGGAGCTCTAAGTAATGTCAGTCTGTATCTTGCTGGACCAGATAATAGGGCACCCAACCAGAGTCAGGACAAATCCAGTGCGAGACTTGAACGAAACAGGATCATGTTTCATCCTCATATCCATAACATCCGGCGAAGTCAGCATCGACCCCACAGTCAAGTCCCTGATCAAGTTTTGGGCTAAAAACAAATGCTTTTGTCACTTGTGCCAATCAGATACCGAATGATTCGTTTGATGGCTTGAGCATGGAATGCCTGGGATTGTGAATGAATCGTGCAACCTGGTGCACACTAAATGTGAGTTCTGGGCGAGTGTTCGACGCAATATAAAGAAGCATTCCAACTGCAGCTGGATAGCGCCACTCTTCTTCAAATGGGGCCCCAGTTTGTCAGCTCCAAGAGGAACGGTGGCGGCAGGAGAAAACTTCTTGCTAGCGTCAGAAATACCAGTATATTAGATGACTTTATTGATTAGACCTTTTTGAGTAAGCTCAACATTGTCTCCCTGTTTTTCAAAATTAATGCCGAGGAACCCAACGATGTCACCTTTTTCTTCAATGGTGAGGTCATATCCAAGTTTCTGGACCTGCCCAACATAGGACTCAATCAGATTATTGTCTGGACTGAGCCAGATTGGTCATCACAATAATTTAATACCATGAGTTGATGCTCCTTAATAATAAACAAACATGGTATGCTGCCGAGGTTTCGAAAACAAGTTGGACCATCCCACAACATAGATGCTCATAGAAACATAATTTGGGTGAATCGGCCTGCCCATAGATGGACTTATCAAAGTTTCAAACACAGTCCTGTCCTTCATAGCCTTTGTGTCGATAGTACTGAGGCATTTCCATGTACAGTGGCTGTCGACAGGTTGAGGGCTATGACAGAAAGCAAGAGTAAAATCAACTGGTCTCGATTCCCATCCATGTGCAGCTGCAAGAAGAAGACCGGCTCTAACGGTGGGCCAACCAACAAGTGGAGCGTATGCGACGCCTTCATAGGACAGAAGGTCTCCTCTGCAGCCACATCTAGATTTGAACTTATTTAATTGTCCGTCTGGTACTCGCTTAATTCGTTGCACCCAAGTTCCAGGAACCGCCTTTAAGTTGGAGGGCATAGAAGACACGCTGTACGATGTGCCAAATCCCCTTTCCATTCAAGGCTGGCAATTTCTTGTCCATTGCTGCCCAGCCCAGGGAACTGGTCTGCATGTTGGTTCCCATCAGAGATTACTTCAGAGAGGGAAGATCAGGGTTCTATTGAAATTTTGGCCTTGAGAGCCAGTGGGCTTTGAGAATGCCAGGATGAAATGATACCTGGGTGTTGGTCAAAGGTGAATAAACATTCACCTGAGATTGCATCATGTGCCTAGAAATTGGAGTAACTACAAAGGTCAAAGATAAAGAACAACTCAACAGGGATGAAGGAAGCGCATATGTCTTCAACTTTGGGTCCATGTTCACAGTCTCAGGCTTCTTGCTTGCTGTGGGCTGTTCAACTGGGATTACGACGAGGGGCAGAGATTGGCTCGATGTGGACATTCAGTGGTGGGAGTGCTGATGGTGGGAGGCTCCCTGTCCCAAGAGAGGGTAAATTTTGAGTCTGAGTGGTGGCAGACGATCTGAATCTCCCTGTGTGAAACCTGGGGCTGTGCTGGAGAGAGCTTGAAAATGAAGATCATCCCTTTTATCTTGCTCTTGTTCATCCTGCCATAATTTTCTCCCATGTCGAAGTTCTGAAGATAGATCGGTGCTGGTTGATGGCCTTTTCCTCTGAGTAGCCACTCGTCTGCTAAGGGAGGTGAGTGTCCTCATCAAATAGGGTCTCGAAGCGTTGGAAGATGCACATGTTGGTCCACTCTAGAGGTGGTTGATCTTCTGAAGAGTAAACTGTCTCAAACCAATCATCATAGACAAGATGGTACTGAG